AACTGTACTATATATACCACTACGGATTTTAACTACACTACAAGACACTATTTAAAAGTGCGGGCGATGGCTCGTCGCTAATAAAGTAGCTAGGCAGTGCTGGAGCGAAGGCGCCGAGTACAACACGAGGATTAATATGAGTGGCGAATTGGGCTCGTTTATAATGTAGATAGAATTAAACATGCAATAAGAGAACAGCAATGACAATAACTGCTATCATGATATGCTTAGGAAGACTTCCTCTTGATGCATCAACTCATCCGCCATCATGATGTGCTCACAACTCGCTTAACCACAACCATAGAGCTCTTTTTCCTCTTTTCATCCAGAGTCTTGGTCTGTATTACTAGTGTACACTACACTGCAACTCCAGAACACTGGCCTAACCTTACGATAGTACCGGATCTGGCCTCGCTAGTTCGGGTGCCAAGAAGCCATATCCAATAGTGCTGTCGGCCTAGGCGGAACCAGCATAGAGAAGAAGGGGGATCCAATTAAAAAGGATCTAATCTCCACGAGGGCCGGTCGTACAACCGCTGTGCCTGCCGCCTGCATATTCACCGTTCATGGCCGTTAAAGAAATAAAATTGCATTTTCAGGGGGAAAGCCAGGAGTGGACGGGGGGGTTGTCATGAACTCTCCGAGGGCTTCTGGACCACGCGAGGTTCCCTTTTGGGGCTGACTGACTAACAAGGCAGGAGGAGTTCGCAAGTTCGCGAGCGTGTTTGTGCAGCAAGGATGAGGCTTAGTATGTAAGGAGGGTCTCTCTGCTTGGTACGGTAAGCCTGGAAGAGGATACTGGAATAGCCTGCTTGGGCCAGATCCCTGTCCGTCATAACAAAAGAAGACGCTAGCGCAAGATCCTGAGTGCTGACTTTTTTTTTTTCGCAGTGCAAAAATAGACACGCTAATACACGATCGATACGAAGACCCACGATGATGTGTGAGCGAGGGCGTCTTGGCTGGCCGTCCACACATCCGGGACCAGCGCAGCGTAGGGCGGCCACCAGAGGCCGGACCTGCAGGGGATGGACGTGAATGGGCCATGCAATCACAGCCCATGGCTGCTGGCTGGCTGGCTGATGGGCTGCGATGGGCTTCCGAGCTAGCCATGGCGCCTTGTTTATTAAACCCCCCAAGCGCCCGCCCGTCGTCTCTGTTCGCTTGTGATCTTCATCCCGCCAGCCTATCCTCCGCTCGCCTCACCCTCACTCCAGTCGTTCTTTCACCTGTCTGAACTCGAGCAACAATGGTTCGCCTGATCAAGTACGCCGGTGCCGGCGCTCTCTTCGTCGCCGCCGTGAGCGCCACCAGCTCATCGTACCCCGTCGACGACGACGAGTGTCCCGATGAGACCTCTTCCGTGGGCTACGCTACCGGATACCCTATCGGTTCCGCCTACCCGACCGGTGGTGACGACGACGAGTGCCCTCCCGAGAGCTCTGAGTACCCTACCGCCACTGCCACTGCCACTGCCAGCTACAGCTCGTACCCTTCGGGATACCCTGTGAGCAGCTACCCGGTGCCCACGTCGAGCAGCTACCCCGGAGGCGACGATGATGAGTGCTCCGACGACGAGGGCGACGATGGAGATGACGACGAGTGCCCTCCTGAAGAGTCCGGCTACCCGACAAGCTACCCTGCCGGCGGATATCCCACTGGCAGCTCCTCCGCCGGAGCCTACCCCAGCAGCAGCTATCCCGTGGTGACTGCTAGCTACAGCGACTCTGGCTATCCTACTGGTGGCGCCAGTGGTTACCCAACTGGCAGCTACCCCGTAGTCACCTCTACCCCGTCTGCTTACCCTACCAGCGACGATGAGTGCCCCCCTGAGAGCACCGAGACCCCTTACCCCACCAGCAGCGAAGACGAGTGCCCTCCTGAGACCAGCGAGTCTTCTTACCCCGTGAGCACTCCTGCTGGCTACCCTACCAGCGGCTACCCCGTTGGCAGTGCCTACCCTACCGGCAGTGAGAGCGGCTACCCAACTGGGGGTAACGGCGGCTACCCTACCGGTTCCGAGAGCAGCTATCCTGCTGGCGGCAACGGTGGTTACCCCACTGGAAGCGAGAGCACCGGTGCCTACCCTACCGGCACTGAGAGCTCCTCTGCTGCTTACCCTACTGGAAGCGGCTACCCCACTGGCGGTAACGGTGGTTCCAGCGAGACTTACCCAGCTGGTGGTGCCAGTGAGACATACCCTGCCGGCGGTGCTAGCGAGACTTACCCTGCTGGCGGCAGCGGCGGTTACCCTACCGGTTCCGAGAGCACCGGTGCTTACCCTACCGGTGGTGCCAGCGAGACCTACCCTGCCGGTGGTGAAAGCACTTACCCCGCTGGTGGTGAGACTTACCCCACTGGCGGCGAGAGCACCGGCGCCTATCCTACCGGAGGCCAGACCTACCCTACCGGTGGTAACGGCGGCAGCTACCCTACTGGCTCTGGCTACCCTGTTGGCGGCTACTCGACCTACCCCGGTGGCAGCTACAGCACCAGCCCGATCGCCACCTTCTCGACCTACCCCGTCACCACCCCGGTCAGCAGCTACCCAGCCGCCTCCTCCACGCCGGCTACCACCAGCGCCATCGCCACCGCCGGTGCCAACATGCTCCGCGTGGGCGCCACCGGTGCCGCTGCCGTCGCTGCCGCGCTCTTCTTTGGCCTCTTTTAATTGCATATGGGTTGGGTGATGATAATTCCGCATGGCGTCTGAGCTTAAAGCATTTGGGATAGAATTTGCAAAGGGGAACAAACAAACAGCATTTACAACAAACCGTTTAATACTTTGGGTTTTTTTTTAGATACACACAAGTCAAGCAGCAGCAGCGCATAAACGCTTTTTTTGTTCATTACCTTACTTCTATCCCTATGTGGTGGCCCAGATCAGCCTTTTTGCAGGCAATTCTTCTCTCCGCTTTCCCGTTTTGCTGCCACACTTATGCTTAATGTTTTAGTCTTCTAATGTAAATAAGTTTTTTCGGTTACTACTACCTTAGTCGCTCGCTACCGTGCAACCCTCTCGCTCCTTTGTGTGTGAATATTCTTAGACCTTTATAGATGATTTTGTATCTACCTTATCTTTTGCTTGTTGCCGAGTATCACAAAGGCACTTGCACTATTTTCGAACACGACATTCTTCACTTCTATACCCTGTTCTTTACGTTTATTGTTGACTTGTAATTATCAATCTAATCTATGAAGTTTGTTTCGCGGGGTGGTTTTCATAACGTTGCTATATGTTTAATTCTCTAGTAGTCCATTTATTACATGAAAATCTTGTATTTCATATGAAACCACCCCTATAGAGTCATCTGGCGTCACCAAGCAGAAGGAACACCGTGAGCAAGACGAGCCCACCTTCCATGTGGACGGTAAGTGGCTAGAGAAATCGCAGGCCGAATTCAACCTTGATCTAAGAGATCAGGATGCGCCCACTATAACTGAGCGAACAACATGCTGCATTCACTGCGCCCAGCACGTCACTCGTGGATATACCGATGCCCGAAAAGGACGGCTATACACTGTCTTGATGGAGTCAATTGAGTGTATAGGGAGCTAGACACCACTACGCCTGATATATCGCATTTTCTTACCCATACTATATAATCTTGTGAGAGCCGCAGGATTTGAATGAACCTTCGTGGCTTCCCACTGTCGGGGGGAAGTCGATGGTCGGAGGATTGTCACGCTAGTTTTCAATCTTCTCTCAACAGCAAGAGTTTTCCTTTTCCAGGAATCCCGTTTTCAAATTTGGCTGGTGGTGATCCCCACACCAGTCCCCTTTTCACCCCCCCTCCTAAGCCACCTCAATATTATAGACATCGTCCGTGAGTTTCCTAATTTTAAGGGACATGTGTCTCTGATATAAGAGATGCGATCGCATTGTTTACCGGACGGCCTCGGCCAGAACGATGTCCTAAATATGTCCAGGTACCGAGGCAGGGCACCAGTATGATCCTGTTCTCGTCGGCCGCCGCGACTGCGTAGGTGCCGCAGCGTACGCATCGACGACAGCCACAAGATCGCGAAGACGACCATCAACACCGTCACAACGGCGACGGCGGCACCAACAACAGCAAGCCAAAACCCACTAGTCAAGGCTACCGCGGTAGCGGTCCCCAAGACGATGATTATCGCCCTCAAGCCTATCATTACACCTACGGCAAATTCGCCGCCAACAATCGCCACCATGAGCATTACCCCTGTCTTTACGGGGCTCGGTACAAGAGCTAGGAACGCACCAAATGCCCTGTTGATAACGGCGAATGCCGCCTTACCCGTGGCTACAGCGAACATGCTTCCTAATGCCGCTATGCCCGCTTCAGCGGTGGTTGTAATGGCTCCCGAGAATACCTCCACAGTTCCGGGGATGTAGGCGCGATACTTCGGCATGGTGATTTGGGGTGACCAGAAGGCCTGAACACCAGGCCGAATACTCGAGCTGCGCGAAGTTCTTGTTAAAATTCAACCGGTGATGTCATGAAATATCTAAGAGATCGGTAGAAGAAGAGAACATGCACTTGGATGAGGGGAATGTTCGAAACGAGCTGAACGGGCACAGTCACCAGTTATGCAAAGGCCGCGGTTATCCGGCGTGGTAGAGAAAGATATCCCGCTATATAAAACAGAATAGCTGTATAAACGCCACACCGGCTAGACGTCCCCAAAACGAGCACCGCCGAGTTAGATTTCACCATCATCAGTTGGTAGAGATGTTGACTTCCTCCCTGAAATAAGTCATCTTTTTCCTGGGTTATGACTTTCTGTACACTTCGGATTTTCTCCAGAAAGCTCACATCTCTGTCGAGATCAGTCTGTTCAGAACGATTGATTTTTCTATCCAAAGTTTTCTTTCTCTTTGGTGGATTCTCGCTTCCCAGGGAATCTTTCCTCAGCAATGCCTAAACAAAAGTCTGATTTAGGTGATTGATCGACTCCGCATGTTTTGTCTGAGTCTCCAGCTGAGTCTTCAATGACTGGTTTTCTGATTGGATTAACCTGGGAGTCTGGCCGAGTGGTTAAGGCTCTGTGTTTAGTCCGCAGTGGGAAACCGCGCAGGGTCGAATCATGCGGCTCTCACCAGTTGATTAGCTTGAATGTGGAAAATGTGTTGTATTTGGGATGATGCTATGAAACTAAGTGGGTAAGCTAGTTGTAGGCTATCTAGTTCTGTTGCGCTGCCACAACGCCACAGGTACTGATATTTGGTGCAAGTGTCATAATAGTTGAATAAGCAGTTCCATAAACTACCACCGGTTGTGTTGTTAGCATTGCTGTCTGCAGTCGGTAGAGCTGTAGTTTTTGATTTTGCCAACTATTGACACTGACGACAGCCTCGCCTATATGTAGTTCTAGGTTCTTTGTGTACCAATAGTATTGACAGCTGCTATTGATGCTACTCTTGGCAGGTTATTGGTCTGGATGCGGGCGGCGACCTAACTGGCGGTGGTAATCATATTTACTGCGAAGTTGTAAAAGTAATGGAGTACGGTACAGGGCATCTTACTGTGAGGAGTAGTTTAATAGGCCTTCTCTATCGTACCTACCACAAGAACTTGAAACAATGCTGTAGACTGTGAAAATCAAGCCTAGCTCGTTTTAAGTTGTTGTTTGATTGTTAATAAACGTCATGATTGCGGCTTTCATTCCCGAATTTTTGGCGAACCGCGATTGGTAGTACTAGCTAACACTTGTCAGACTTTCCCAAAAAGCCGTAACGAACGCAAAGTGTTCAGAAATGAATACCGCTTGGCCCGAAATCAGGCCGGGTTCATCCCTGCGATAACTTTTTTGACACCCATTTCGTGCGTATTGATCGTTTCTTCTCGAGTTCTCTCATCTTGTGGTATTTCTTTCTTGGTTTGTTCGTGATGAACAGGACTGTCGACAAGTTGTTTAGCTCGGTTTTAGTTTTGAAACATTTGGAACATTTTGTCTGATCGATTGGCTTGGTGACATCAATGTCGGCTTTGAATTCTGGCCATATCTTAGTAAATGCTAACGATATTGTGTTTTGCCGCTGTTCAGACTCCAAATGCATTAGCATCGACGGGTGGTGCATAGATTTGTTGCTGCGGCGTAAAGATGACGTCCGGAGCTTTCCAGTCAGCGAGAGTTTTTAAGGTAGTATCGGCCGTTTTGTTAATAGTAACAGATGTGCTAGTTGGGGTTTTCGGTTTGATTTGCTGCAATTAAATTTTTCTTTTAAATCATTTTCTGAGTGCGATTATGGTCTGTCGTATCGGTAGCTGTTGTACCGGTGGCTTTTTCATTTCCATGGCAGCTTTGCGAGTTCGTGGCTGTGGCTGGAAGACCGATGCTGGGCGAGATGATGATGTAGGTGCGTTGTCTATATGCCGCATGGTCGGCTTGCTTGTGGCAAATGAATCATGTCCCATGATAGCATACTTATCCCAGCACTGTGGGACGATGCGAGTCTGGGGATTTACCAACACGCCGATCTCAACGAGTAGGCCACCGTGTATGGTAATGCTCAATTCGTTCAGTAGTTTTTATAGCTATACACTCTCTACGTTGCCGACCGGGTGCGCCTCCGAGATCTAGAGTGTAGACCGCATCACCCGCTGGAAGATTGATCACGGGAGGCAGTTGCGGCCACTCTGGGAATTGCACTCGGTCGGCGACATAAAGTTGGTGAAAGAAGGCGTTTTGGCGTAATTCTTGCTCTTTCCAGGTAAAGAGTTGCGGAGCAATGTAGGCCATCCGATGGGGCTACACAGAACCGGCAACCAGTAATGGATGAAGTGATGCGTAGACAAATGAGTGAGAGGCTTAACCTGTTCGATGAGCGATTGAAAGCTCCCCGAGAAAAAAAAAGGCAAGAAGCCTGATTATCCTCCGATTCGTTTATATGAAGCTCATATGGGCCCACGATCTTTGGTCAATCTCCCAAGTGGTGTAAACACGTATTAAAATGAGGCGCGTAACCACTTCCAATCTGTATTGACCGGTGACGATGTAAATGCTATGAAAGACACTATAAACCAGATCATCGACGCCCTCACCAGATACTTGGGACTCTCAGCCGAGGTGGCTATATATTCCGCCATGCGCAACGAACATTCGAATGCTACGTGGAAAAGTCGCACCAGAAATACCTGAGGCTTCCGTTATTCCTCACTGATGACGTTAAGGGACCTGTCGCTATTTGGGAACAACGCGAGACGCCGGCTCCGCAGCTTTCTCGCGAACCGGGCGCGCTTCTCGGGACGGCAGAAGAGAAAAGTTTTATCTGATTAAACGCCCCATCTTTTGATCTAAAAGCCGGAACCCCTTCTTAGACCCAAATGTAAGGCCTTTCGGATGCAAGCACATTTTAGCAGAGCTGGTCAGCTTAGAATATTATAAATAGGTTCAGCTACTACTGTAGCCGTAATATTAGCCCTCAGGCTCAGATAAAGCACTATTCCGTAATATCTAGTGACTCACGGAAGGAAGTACTCAAGCTTAATAATCAAGTAGGTAGCGGGTAGCTAAATGGGTTTGCATGGATACATAGATGTGGAGTTGCGGCCGTTTGTAGTCAAATATCACGGCCATGCCTTGTTGTGCTGAGCATATCCTCTTGACATGATCTAATCAAGGCTGATACAAAATAAACGTGCGTCGCTGACATCACAGGTTTTTGTGTATGGTTGATATCGTTGCTACATACAAAGATGGCACTTAAGATTACCTAATTGATATGTTCCTCGACCACCCTGATACTGTCCGCTAAGCCCTAAGGGAACGATCTAGGGTTGCAGGATCTGCGGCAGTTACCTCATTGCAGACCTACAGTAAATAAACCCAATTGGCCAATGCCGTTGATATGAATTTTTGCCTCGGCCTAGGCTTAATGTTATTGCTGTAGGAACCGGGTTTAGAGTCTACTGTATGAAAAGCTTAGATCAGCCTCCCAAAACCCCTCTCCGACGCCCTTCGGACAATTCCGCTCTTCCATCACATACGGATACGATGGATAATACGAAATTTCTTGGCGCGGCCATATCGCGCGACAGCTTAGATGCGCCGTCTATATATAGTGTGATGTTGGGTGATATGATGAAAGGAAGCCCCTCATTTAATTAGGTAAGTCTTCCGGGGGATCCGGGATCGTTTGTATGTTAACAGCAGAAAAAGCTGTCTCCGATATTAGGCCGACATCACCGAATGACTCAAAGCGATCTCATACAGATGCAACTATTATCGTGGGTGTTATACACGATTGGACGACGGGATGTCCATCGGTCAACATGGGCCCCATAGGAAGGATCAAAAACACCGGCACGTGTCTCCTTGCAGCCCCCTGCCAGCCCTTGCAGATGGAAATCTTGTGCCTGCCGGGGTTAGACGAGGCTGCAGGTCGAAGAAACCGTCCTCCGATGTTCGAGAGGAGGAGAAGGCAAGCGTGACGGTACACCGAAAGACCGAAGCAGCGTTGCTGATCTGACTGGATTTGGGTATTTCCTCCGCGCTGGGTGCTTGGTAAGCGGGAAATTGAAAGGTCACAGAAGGCGTGATTCATCGGGCCATCATAGGCGGTCGTAGGCAGCCTGCCCATGCGCCTGCGACATAACAGAGAAAACCATCGGACCATCCGGAAATAATGTACATGTGAGCCGGCCTAACTAACATTAAGCGACTTATGCCGGCCGCTCAGAAAGGCACGTGGTGAAACTCTATTAGGGACCGTGGTAAACATAAGAAATGCGATCGCGCCGGCTCGGTTGGGGTTTTGAGTTTACTCCCTCTGTTCTCCCCTATGTCCGCGTCAAAATTGTACCTATTACTCATGATGACGAATGAATGAATAAATAAACACACTCACTGCTTGTCCACGAACGACGACAACCTGAGGGTCGCGATTATCTCATCACACTCACTTCCATTGGGTCGCGTGCTTTTGCGAATCGGCTGATTGGGGAACCCTCTATATAATATTAATAACACACACACTCACCTCCAATGGCGACAGCAACGGCAATTCCCCGCATATCGGCCCAACAACAACAACAACAACGACGACGACCTGGTACGGTGACGTTCGCTCTGGGTGGCCGGAATGACAGCAGCGACAGCTCACGGACCAGCGACATCGTGTCTGAAAAAGTGAAGATAAAAAAGCAGCAAGCTCGGAAGTCTTCCCCGAAGCAGGATTATGGAGGTGATTATGTGGTCGACCGCTCCGTGTCGCCCAACCGACTCAAGACCTTTCTCAAGGCCTTCAAGCACATTCATGATCTCACTCCGCAGCAAGTAGACGACTTCATGGCGTCGTACGAGATTTACAACCTGGACTGGGCCGATGAAGACGCCATGGTGGCCGCATTCGGTCCCAATTACCAGCAGCGCGTTGGGCAATGCCTTACAGCTTATTACTCAGTGATTAATCACCTCTGCAGCCTTGGAGACGTGGAGAAGATGTATATACCACCACTGATGGATAAGAAGGCATCCGTGCGGGATAACCAGCTCCTCTGTGAAGAATCGATTTCCAGGGAGATCGGGTTGAAGAAAGGGATGAAAGTCCTGGATCTGGGATGTGGTCGTGGTCGGGTGGCTGCGCATATGACGAGCTACAGCGGAGCGAGAGTGACTGGGCTTAACAGTGAGTTTTATATCCCTCTGTTACCTACTTCAGCCGAATCGGGATACTGGTGATGATTCAAGCATTTCACAACTTTGCCTTGAAATCATCCGATGCATTCTCTCTTCGGGAGTTCAAATGCTAACTCGCTGATGTTAAAGTTGACGCAAATCAAATCGCGCAAGCCAAGGAATTCAACAACAAACTGCATTTCAGCAATGAGTTTATAGTTCGCGATCAAAATGATCTACCTCTCCCCTTCGCGGACGAATCGTTCGACGCCTTCTACGAGATCCAAGCGCTCAGCCTCTGCAAAGACCCATCGGCACTATTCAAGGAGATATACCGAGTACTAAAGCCTGGGTCAAAATTCCTGCTTATAGACTGGGTCAGTCTACCAGCTTACGACCCTGAGAACCCTAAACATACCTCCCTCATGAGGCGAGTCAAGCCATTGATTGGCGCTGTCGGGACGCCGACGCCGACGAGT